GAGGGTTCGAATCTCCACGGGGAGTTCATTCCAGAGGGTCGGAGCAGCCACAGAGAAGGCTCTCCTCCGGGTAGTCGGGTAGTCGCCAGTTGACACTGGCCGGCGGATGAAATTCGGAGGAGGCCTAATCTGTGGGATCTAATTGGTCTAGTGGAGGTAATTTGTAATGAAAGAGAGATTAGACCTTTGTCGATTTTACATGTAAATTCCAAAACACTTTTCTTTATGAAACAGGATGCACAGAATCAATTTATTGTGTGAAAACTAATTATCCTTCTCATTTATAGTGCTTGAGCTAATTTTTTCTTTCTTTCAGTGTTGAACAACTTTTTCAAGGAATTCCTGAATAAGCCACGATTTACATGGTTCACATACCCCTAAGCTATACATAACATATTACTCTAAGCTTGGGCTTATCCATGAGTGATAGAAGGCCTGAAGACACCAACTTTGCTACCTATCAAATTCTTTTCTCTGTTCTGCTTTTGAAATTGTTTTATTTTAAACAGAGTCAAAAAGGAAACTGGTATATTGCAAGGCAAAGAATTATTTTTATTTTCAAGGATTCCCTTGGATTCCACACAGAAACTAAAAGTGTTGAGTAGTTGGACTCTGCCTGTCTAGAACAAATAAATCAGAAGTGGGTACTAAGTGTCATGAATGACAGGAAGCAACTTCAACAATTTGCTTTCCGGCAAAGGGGTGTTCATTTCCACTGGAGTAGGCATTTGTAAATGCTTATTCTCCCATGACAACTATTTTCTTGAGCAATAAAAAGTGGTCTCAAAATGTCCGATGACTCCCGCTTGTCCAAAGTATTTGGGGATGCCTACACTAATCCACTTAACACAATGCATGAAGTCATTTGATTTCTGCATGCGTGAAGGAACTACTTTTTAAGTAGTTTACCTCTTCAACGCACAGGCATTATCTTACAAAATTTTAAAGGATTCTTTTTGGTGTTTTTAAGTGTAAGGCCCCAGAGGGGATTATTCAGATGCAATTTGTCAAGTTCAGAATGAGAAAAGTGTGTTGTGTTCTCTCTCCCCTTTCTCTCTCTCTTTCTCTCCTCAGTTTTTACCCATAAAGTTTCAAGATGCTGTTCTGTATCTGATACCCCCTCCAACAACTATAGCCATGATGGCAAACCTATGGCACGTGTGCCACAGGTGGCACGTGGAGCCATATTTGCCGGCATGGCAGCCCTTGGCAGCCCTCAGCTCCTGCGTGCATGCATGGGCCAGAGTGGTTTTTGGCCTCCCAGTGGGCAGGGGAAGACCATTTTCGCCCTCCCCAGGCTTCAGGAAAGCCTCCAGAGCCTGGGGAAGGCAAAATCCCCCCCTCCTCTGTTGTGGCCCAACAGCAGCCGGTTGAGTTGTTGGTGGAATCTGACAGCGATGAACACTATGGGACTNCTGAAAGCCTTATGAAGCGGTATATGTCTAACTGCTACTGCTATTGCTTTGTGGTGGTTCTTAGTGGTCCCTGATGTGGCTGATTGCTGTTTAAACAGAGAGCAAACCCCACTCCCTTCTAGCACTGATGATGTTCCCTAGTTGGATAATGAAACGTCTGAATCCAGCCGAATCGAGAGAGCACCAAAAACTCCACAGTTCAACCCTGAATTACTGATATTTTCTTTTGTTGAAATGCCTTTTTCTCCTTTTTTTTTTAGTGGCCTTCTTTTGCCTAACCTCTTGCTGGCACTTGTCAATCATGTTCGCAATGAGAATTCACATACAAACGCTCCCACAATTGAGCCCCAAATCTTTCTTGCTAAGTGAGACAGTCGTTAAGTGAATCTTGACTTCCCCACTGATTTTGCTTCTCGCCAAAGGCGATCAGATGATCCGCCTTTGGACACGGCGACTCTCCTTAAGTACATGCCGGTTGCCAACCCGTGAATTTTGATCTCATGACCATGGGGATGCAGCGAAGGTCGTAAGTGCGAGGACTGGTCGTAACTTTGAGGAGCCGTTGTAAGTGCGAGGAACAGTTCTGAATGGGAAATCTCTTTTGTCAATTCGCAAAGCACTTCCATGTCTGTTATTGAGTTGCCATGGGAAAAATGGAGCTCATTCCACGCATACCTTCGGCCAGGGTCGGATCTCACATTACCACAGCAGGCTTGTGAGGCGTGGAATTCTACAACCTGCTGGAGCACCTCATTGGGTAATGTGATTTATGACACAGACTGAGGGGAGAGGGGAAACGGGCAAAGTTCAGCCGTAACTTATGTGACGTCGGATCTGACTCAGCTCGGGTGATTGCCAAAATATTGTTCCTAATAAATGACGGGATTTCCTTTGAAACTTGGCTCGAGGCTCCTGAATTAATTAGGGCACCTTTCGGAAACCTGACGTCTTTCTTATTCTACTCCTAGACTCTCCGGATGCTACGAAGCCTTAGATGGAGGCAACACGGGCGATGCCTTGGTGGATTTTACTGGGGGGGTCTCGGAACCGATCGACCTGGTCGAAGGAGGCTACGCCAACGACGAAGCCAAGCGGACCCTCCTTTTCGAGAGGGTGCTGAAGGTCCATAACCGAGGAGGCCTCATCAGCTGCTCCATCAAAGTAAGAAGGTCTGGTCAGTAGACGCAAAAAAGGAACTATACAGCCTACCAACCTACCAAAAACGAGTTTGATTTTTGGTTTTTATAGAACACTGTAAAAAAATAGACTAGAAAGTTAAAATAAGCACACAAAAAAATAGTAAGAGAACAGCTGTCTGATCTTGATGAATACAAATCACCGGGTTGCATTAACAGAGGGATACAATCAAGATCAAGAGAGGTACTAATACCTCTCTGTAAAGCTTTTGTAAGGCCACACCTAGAGTAGTGCATCCAGTTTTGGTCTGCAGAGTATAAGAGCAAACCAAGAGGATGAGAGGACTGAAGCTATCCTCTGAAGCTGTGTCCAGTGCCAGGTTTGTAGTCCTNGTGAAAATGGAGCTCGGGTGGGGAGGGGGATGTTGCCCTTGCGAGCTCTGTTTTGGGCTAGGACAGCCTCCTGCAACCCTCTGCCTGCGAAAATGAAGCAAACAACCCTCCCGAGCTCCGTTTTTGCTGGCAGAGGCACTGCAGGCTGGTCCTTCGCTGTTTCCAAGGTGGCTCTGCAGGCCAGATCTAAACACCCCATGGGCCTGATTCAGCCCCTGGGCCTTGAGTTTGACAACCCTGGTGTAGTGTAAACGCCATGAAATATTTTAAAACAAGATCTTCCGCAAAGCTATTCTTCCTGCCCTTCCTTTCTTGGAGGCACTGGGCAGGAATGCCTTTAAAATATTTAAAATAAAGATTTGAATGAACGTTTGTTTTCATAATAATAGCAATGAGGATTGCCACACTTTATTCCACAATTTTTGTTCAATTTCTTAATCTAGTCTTAATTATTTGGTGGCTTCGAATCCAAGCATTAGGTTAGGAGAGTAATTTTAAACTGCGTTTATACTATATTTTAAAATTATAATTATTAGCCACCCAGTCACATTAGTGAAATAGGCGGCCAGATAAATCAATCTAAATAAATCAAGAAATTAAAAATAAAACAAATTAACTAGTCGTGTCTTTGTTCATAATTTTTCGATGGGGCATCAACTAACATCAGCTAGGTTATGTCACCTACTGAGATAAAACCAAAATATCTGCCTGGGCATAATAAAAGTTGCTTCATTTCTCCCATTGGTTTAGTCACACATAGTGCAGATTCAATTAATGTAATTCTAGAATCATAATCATCAGAAGTAAAATGTGGTCTTTTCCTTCTGATCTTCAAAAAAGACTGCAGCCTTTTTAGCAAAAATAATGCTCATCAATTAGAAATACATCTTTTTTGCAGGAATCAGTTGTCCTAAATAGCTAAATAACCCTTGAAAATACAACACAATATATATCCATATTTCTATGTGATACAACTCAATGCCTCAGAAATTTCAGGGGGCATTGCCCCCCTACTTTAAATAGCATGGATTATACCACAAACCAGCAGAACTAGAACAGCTGTGTGTGCTTTTCTCTACAAACCATAAAATGACAAAATACAAAATGAGTGCAACGCAAAGAACGAGAAAAGGCCATCATTTATCCCTATAAGCATATGATCTGATACTCTTGCTTGGCACGGCCCAGCTGGTTTGTACCTTTACTGGCACAATGGATTAGACTCTTCTGCAGGAAGAGTAGTAGCTGCTCAGCAAGAGCCTGGATGTGATAACCCTTTGGCTCTTGGTTACGCTACCCCAACGATCAGAAATACAGAGAGCTTTGCTCATAGCCACTGAGTCTCTTTGTATCCAGGCTGCAATGAGTTGTAAACTGACAGGTGAATGAACCCCAAAGGCTGGGTGAGAACAGCCAATAGGCAGCTGGAGACGCCAGATCAAAGGCAAAAACACAGTCATAACTCAGGGCAAAGTAAATCACAGGGGCCTGGCCCAGAAGAAAAACCATGTAACCGGGCAAGCAATGGGGTAGGCCTTTCTTTTCCTTGCCATCTATTCAACCATCCTTAGGGATACTGGCAACCTCTCCCTCCACTTTCATAAAGCTGCTGTTCTCTACGCTTCCTCAAATCCTCTGTAAGATAACTTATAGCTGCATTTCAAAACAGAGACTGGAGACATCATTCAGGCCACTAAGATATTGGGCTTCATACAGTAATACAGAAATGGGGAAAAACCTGTATTATTTTGGGGGGGATATTTCTTCTGGAAGGAAGATTGTGTCATTGTGAAAGATTTGGAGAGTGGGTATGTGTGTGTCTCTTGGCTAAGCATGGCCTTGTTTAGGATTAGGAAATTTCCCTGCATATATTTTGTATGCAGTCTTTAAGGTGCCTTTAAGGAGGCTCATGGACAGTTTTTCATATTCAATCATTGTCTATTTTTCATCACATTGGCTGTAGAACTGGAAGAAGTAATTTATTCTTTTTTATTTTGAACTATAGAGAAACCAGCCACATAGCATTCGCAACAATAGATGGATCACAACAGGACATACTTGGATTTCTACATATTTTTGACCCATATATCAATCTCTTTCCCCTCCCATTGCTCCATTCCTTGTGTGTTCAATCACACTTGGCCAATAAAAAATTCTATTTACTCTCCGAAACAGTGTTGAGAACAAGTGTGTTGGTGTTTCCTGCATCTCTACACACCTCCCTTATGCAATAGTTTAAACTACAGTCCCAGAGTTGCAACCTACTGTGGAGTTCTTCTATCACAACATCAATATTCCTGGGTTAGTAACAATGAAAATGAACTGAGGTCTTCAAGGACAGAGTTACATGTGGAAAATACAGTGGTATTTATGTGAACAATGTATGTTTATCTGATGGAAGCTCAGTTTGCTTTACATATCTCAACAAACTTTATATACTTTTGAATGAATGAATATACGTTGCACATAAATGGTCCATCTGGAAGCAGCTGGGATAAAACATAGAGTATATTTAAATTGTCTGAGGACATGCTGGTGCTCTTTAATGCTGACCCAGCTTCAGACCTATTAAAATATGTATATCAAGGTCCAGCCTTTATTAGATGTGTAAACAATAAAAGCAGTCTCTATGAATCAAACGGTAAAACAGGGACAGCGTATACCACCAAGACAACTACTTTAGTACTCTTTGTTTTAGAGTCTACATAGGAAACTCACAGAATCGGTGTACTCATTGCTTCTACATAGAGCTCATCTTAAGAGTGCATTTTAATCCAGCAAGAAAAACAGAAACAATACAAAACACCTTCTTTTCCTTTTCATAACCATTCATAAGTCATGCCCGCTGCATCTCTCCAGTTCCCAAGTCCACCTTAAGATAGCTATTCCTGCTTTGGAAGGAAGTGCCAATTGCAACCATACACTTTCAGTAATCTCTCCACCACTAGCAATTAATTCCTGACACTGTAGCAGATCACTAATGGCAGCTGCCATTCTATGGCTTTCAAAAACGGCTCTATGTGCAATTTAGTCCAATGAATTACAATTGAGATGACATGATCAATGATACTTTCAGTTCTTTAATGTTATCGAGCTGCATTTCTAATTTCCCCTGCAGCATGTTTCCATTAAAAATGCAATGTGGTAGGCCTGTGAGGGCGAACCTGTGGCACACAGGGCCATATTTGCTGGCACGCCAGCCATCAGCTTTGGCGCGCATGTGCACGCCGACCAGCTGATTTTCAGCCTTACCAAGGGCCGGGGGAAAGCCTCTGGAGGCTGGGGAGTGTGAAAAATGGCCCCAACGGGCCAACTGGAAGTTCGGAAATGATCCATTTCTGGCTTCCAGGGAGCCTCTGGGGTGCTGGGGAGGCTGCTTTTGCCCTCCCCAGGCTTCAGGAAAGGCTCTGGAGTGAGCTTGTGCGTGCATGCGCATGGGGGGGGGTTGCGCACGCATGCACAGGTGGGCGGGGAGGATTGAATTGGTGTGGGCATGCGTGCATGTGCGATAGCGCACGCACACACAATTGTGACATGCCATAAGAAAAAGGTTTGCCATCACTGTGGTAGGGTCTTTTTCCTCCCTTCAAAATCCTCATTCTATTCCCTCAAAATCTATTTGCATCTCTGCCAAGAAACGTTTTTGGAGAGACCATTTATGGTTATCAGTCTTTGCTGAGATGGAAAAGCTATCAAGTATGGGGGATGGGGGGAGGTTAAGAAACTGAGGAAATGTGTAAGAGGACAAGTCATTCCTTTGCCCAGAGCGGCTGCCATGAGAAGACTGACGTCAAGCCAAAAGCTTGCATCTTAGCTGGAGGATGATAATGCCAGCCGTGCATGCTAAGGGGTGGATAGTCTCCTTATGTTATGACTACATGACAGCAAGGCCAAGCGTGTATCAGATGATGGCAGTTCAAGGCTGAAAGGACGAGGAGGAGGAGGACATTTACAATATGCCAGCCAGGAGCACAATGGTTTTCAGGGTACCAGGGCAAAGATGAGCAAAGGTCCTGTAAAGTCTCTGTTCCCTTCAAGAGATAAAAACAAAACAACACTAGATTTTAGACGTAGTGTGGTTAGACAAAAGGAGACTAAGCCAAGGGAGAGACAGACAAACAAACGAAGATAAAGAATCTGTGGAAAAAGCTTGATCGGTCAACTCTGCTTGCAAGAAGAAGAACTGATGCACAATTTTGGATTTCTATCTGTTCAAAATTTATCACTGGCCAATTTCTGGATGGAGATTGATTAGGCCTCAGGGAGCATAATCTGTAATCTGAATGTAATCTGCCAGTCCTTCATAGATGCACTCAAGGTAAAAACTGGGAAGGGAGGTGGGACATGTGAAAAAATGCCCCCCCCCCTTTCATCACAAGCTTTTGGAGCTCATCTTAACATTTAAATACAATCTCTAAAACTAAACTTGGTTCAGATTAAGTCTTGCTTCTGAGCCACATTTTTGGTATAAACTTAAGCAGTGATAAACTTTGGTACAAACCTAAGCAAGGACAAGATCAAGTAAGATTAAACAGGGTTTCCTAGCTAATGGGGAACTGCAGATTGTTGAGAGTGAAGAGAAAAACTTCACAATTCTCATCCCAAACTGATCAGAGGTAAATTCTTCCTCTTTTCCCCCATCCCCATCTGTATCCTCCATGAGATGCAATATTGTTTTCGCTTGTTCTCTCTGGATTTTCAGTGTTAGAGAAAGTGTTAGAGGTCAATGAAACCACCCTTTAATTAAAAAAAAAGTTTAACTTTTTTTCCTTAAGTTTATGTTCTTAAAAACGTTTGTAGGTCATTCAAG